CGCCGCGTATTTCCTGCGGCAGAAGTTCGGCCATGGCGTGCAGCTGCACGTGCTGGAGAAGGCAGCGGTGGGCGGCCGGCTGGACACGCTGGACGTGGAGGGGGACGCCTATGAGGCAGGGGGGTCCGTGATCCACCCCCTCAACCTGCACATGAAGCATTTTGTCAAGGAGCTGGGTGAGCATGGACCCCCCCACCCTGGTGTCTTCCAGCCCAAAGTTGTTCCTCAGTCCCAAAATGATCCCCCTGGGGTGCTCTGGGTCCCACTTTGCTGGGGGACATCCCCTGAAAGAAGAAGGCTTGGTAGCCCCTTATGCATCCCCAGTAGCCCTCATATCCGTCTCCAGTAGTCTCACTTTTTTTCCAATAACCCCCATGTGTTTCCCCAATAGCCCCCCTTTTCCCAATATCCCCCCCATGTACTTGCCCTAGTAATCACCTTTCTCCAGTATCCCTCCCCCACAGCCACTTTCCTTCCCAAATAGCCCCCCATCATTTCCCCCATGCCCCCTGTGGTACCCCAGCCCCACTCCAGGCAAAGGAAATCCACATCCCAATGGGAATGGTCTCGTCCTTCCCCACAGGTGACCCACTAATGGCATTATAAAGGTCCAAAAGTCACCTCCAATCACTCCCTGGCCCATGATCAAGGGCTAATTCCCCTTTCTGTGCCTTGGGACTCCGATCTTCAGCTGCTCACCCTTATCAGCATGAAGCCAGGTTATCTCAGGAAGTTAAAACCGAGGTGGAATAGCTCTACCTTTCCCTAAATTACCTTTTTCTGTCCTTTTCCCAAAGGCCTCTCGGTCGCCTCAGCGCAGGGCGGCCTCGCGGGTGTGTACAATGGGGAGGAATTTGTGTTTGAGGAGAGCAGCTGGTCCTTCATCAACCTCCTCAAGCTGCTCTGGCACTACGGCCTCAACCCCCTGCGCATGTCCATGTGGGTGGAGGACATCCTGGACAAGTTCATGAGGTGGGTTTGGGGTCCTGAGAGGGGAAAAAGTGGGAAAGGACCTTAAAAACACCTAAAAATTCCATGGGCAAGAACAGCTTCCACTATCCCAGGTTGCTCCAAGCCCCATCCAGCCTGGCCATGGACACTTGCGGCGATCCAGGGGCAGCCACAGCTTCTCTGGGAAAACTCTGCCAGGACCTCCCACCCTCATAAAAATCCTCAATATCCAACCTAAACCTCTCGTTTGTCCTGTCCCTCCAGGCCCTTGTCCTGCCACCCCATGATATCCCTCCCAGGGCCACAGAGCTCATTAACAGAGGCAATTTCTTGTCTGCAATTAAAGGATCTACCGGTACCAGATGCATGACTACGCCTTCAGCAGCAACGAGCGCCTGCTCCAGACCCTGGGAGGCGACGACTTCACCCGCCTGCTCAACCAGACCATCGATGAGGCCATGCAGAAAGCAGGATTCTCCCAGAAATTCATCAACGAGGTGGTTTGTCCGGCCATGAGGGTGAATTACGGCCAAGGGGTCACCATCAATGGCTTTGTAGGTGAGTGTTTGGAGGTAGCCTCCCATCCTGGGTGTTGGGGTTCCTGCTCTGTGTCCCAGTTTATCCCCCCTGATTTTGCAGTTTGTTTTTCCATGTTTCCCTGCTCTGATGGTGGTGGTTTCCTTGCAGGTGCTGTGTCCCTGGCTGGGGTGCAGTCAGGCCTTTGGTCTGTGAAAGGAGGGAACAAACTTGTCTGTTCTGGCCTTATCTACTCCTCCAAGGCCGAGGTTATCCCCGGAACAGTCGTGTCCATAGAGCCAAAAACCAGACCCAGGCCTGGCAGTGAGTGCAGCTGGAATTCCCTTCAGTGGGGAGGGGATGGTGATACTGGAGACCAGCCTCGGTCCCTTGGGGATTTTGAGGTGGAAATTCCTCCCTGGGAGGGTGGGGAGGGGCTGGGATGGAATTCCCAGAGGAGCTGTGGCTGCCCCTGGATCCCTGGAAATGCCCAAGGCACTTGGATGTGGCTTGGAGCAAGCTGGGATAGAGGAAGGTGTCCCTGCCATGGAACTGGATGGGCTTTAAGATCCCTTCCTATCCAAACCTTTCCACAATTCCATGAAAACAGGGCTGAAAACCCAGCTGTAGAAGTTTATAAACCCAAACATGGCGGCATTTTGAAATGTCAGGGACAGCTGGGATTCCCTGAGCACGGATCAGGATAACCGAGCTGCTCTCCCTCCGCAGGGGACCCGGCCACGCTCTACCATGTCACCTACAACACGTCCTCGGGGCTCACAGGGGACACCTACGACATCGTGATCATCGCGGCGCCGCTCGGCCGCAAGATGGCCAACATCACCTTCCGCAACTTCGACCCTCCCATCCCGCAATTCCCGAATCCCTACCACCAGACCGTCACCACCTTGGTGCACGGCCGCTTGAACACCTCCTTCTTCGGCTACCGCGACCCCCAGGCTTTTCACCTGGGGGCCATTTTCACCACAAACAACCCCAAACTCTTCATCAACAGCCTGGGCGTGGTGTCCCCGGTGGGGGACGCGGGCGGGGAGCTGCCGCTGCGGTCGGCCGTCTGGAAGGTGTTTTCCAAGGAGGAGCTGACCAAGGAGCAGCTCGGTTTGCTCTTCTCCTCGTACGACGCGGTGAAGGTGAAGCGCTGGTTGGCGTATCCCCAGTACAGGCCTCCCGAGAAGTTTCCTCCCATCGTCCTGCACGAGCAGCTGTACTACCTGAACGGGCTGGAGCGCGCCGCCAGCGCCATGGAGATGAGCGCCATCGCCGCCCGCAACGCCGCCCTGCTCGCCTTCCACCGCTGGCACGGCCACGACCACAGCGTCGACCAGGAGGACCTGCACGAGAAGCTCAAAACGGAGCTCTGAGACCTCCCCCCGGGGCTTAATTAACACTAATGAGCTCCCTGCTTCGTCCTCTGAGGAGGTGTTTCATAGGATCCTGGGATCCTTGAAGTTGGAAGACTTTCAAGATGATCAAGACCTTCATGATGATCAAGATCTTCAGGATCATCAAGACCTTCAAGATGATCAAGACTTCAGGATCATCAAGATCTTCAGGATCATCAAGATCTTCAGGATCATCAAGACGATCAAGATGATCAAGATCTTCAGGATCATCAAGAATTTGAAGATGATCAGGATCTTCAGGATCATCAAGACCTTCAGGATCATCAGAGACCTTCAAGATGATCAAGACCTTCAGGATCATCAAGAATTTGAAGATGATCAGGATCTTCAGGATCATCAAGATCTTCAGGATCATCAAAGACCTTCAAGATGATCAAAGACCTTCAAGATGATCAAAGACCTTCAGGATCATCAAGACCTTCAAGAGAGCTAATTAACAGCCAAGTAATTAACACTAAGGAACTCCGTGCTTTTCCCCTCCCAGGAGGTGTTTTGTAGGATCGTGGGATCCTTAAGGTTGCAAGATCTTCAAGATCTTCAAGAACATCAAGATGCCATAATTAACTCTAATGAACTCCATACTTTTCCCCTCCAAGGAGGTGTTTTGTAGGATCGTGGGATCCTTAAGGTTGGAAAATTCCTGAATTTTCCTCGAACTCCTTGATTTATTCCTGTCTGAGAGTAGGGAATTCATTAAAAGTGCAATATTGACCCCAAAAGTGCCCTCCAGCTGGGAATATCGACTCCCTGGCTGTCCATCCCTCTACCCCAACTTTTCCGAGGGGTCTGCCAAGGAATTATTCCTCAGGGTGGAAATTGGGGGGGGATGGGATACTGGAAGCTGCCAAAATGGGTGGGAAAGAGGAAAAACCACCAATTCCCAGCGCTGTGCTGAGGTATGAAAGAATTAATAAAAAATTTTACAACCTGACTGTTACGGAGAAAACCACCAAAAATAGCACAAATTTAACACCCACATCAATAAATCAAAGTTTTCCATGAGTTTCCCCGGGATTGGGAGCGGAATTAACAGCCAGTTGCCAAAAAGTGATGTAAGAAAGGCTCGAATTAGGTCAACCATTACAAAATTGATTTAATAACAAAACCCAAAATAATTGTACACTTGTGAGCGGCGTCTTGGATGAGGGAATGGAGCTGGTGGGTCGGGATTTGGGGTTTTCCAGGGGTTTATACTCGTTCCAAAGCTTCCAGCATGATGATGCTGTTCCCTCGGATCACCTGGAAAGGGGGAAGGTGAGAGCTGTTACCTCTGATCTAAGGATTCCTTTCTTGCAGTTTTAATTCCCCAAAAATCCTTGAAAATTTGGCTGGAATTCCCCAAAAAGGATGAAAACTGACTGATTTTAACCCTAAATCCCCAAGAATCACAGAATCCCTGAGGGTGGATCCCATCCACCTCTGGGATCATCGAGTCCAACCCTGTCCCCAGCCCGGAGCTCCGAGTGCCACCTCCAGGAGTTCCTGGGACACCTCCAGGGATGGGGATCTGAACCTTCCTGGGCAGTTCCGAGTTCCCTTTCCATGGGGAAATTCCTGCTGCTGTCCACCCTGAGCTCCCCTGGCCCAGCCTGGGGCTGTTCCCTCTCCTCCTGTCCCTGTTCCCTGGGATAAGATCCCAAATCCCCCCGGCTGTCCCCTCCTGGCAGGGAGCTCTGCAGAGCCACAAGGGCCCCCTGGAGCTGATGCCTGGCCCTGTTCCCACCAGTCCTTGGGTCCATCCATCCATCATCTATCCTTTATCCATCCATCATCCATCCATCAATCCATCCATCATCCATCCGTCTGTCCATCATCCATCCATCTGTCCATCCATCAGTCCATCATCCATCAGTCCATCATCCATCCGTCCATCATCCATCCATCCGTCCATCATCCATCCATCATCCATCCGTCCATCATCCATCCATCATCCATCATCCATCCATCCATCATCCATCATCCATCCGTCCATCATCCATCCATCATCCATCATCCATCCATCATCCATCATCCATCATCCATCCGTCCATCCATCATCCATCCGTCCATCCATCATCCATCATCCATCCGTCCATCCATCCGTCCATCCATCCGTCCATCCAGGTGTTTCCAGCCATGACTTCACCTCTCTCAGAAGCACCCAAAGCTCTACTGAATTCCCACCTGACACATCCCCAACCTGTCCCTCACCAAACTTCCCGCTCATTCTGCACTCG